TACCGGAGGCCCATTCCTCTACCTAATCCCGAATCTTAAAAGGCCGAAGATTACAACACACACATCAGTACAATAAAGATTATTCTATTCTGTTCTATCAATATAACTAAAAGAATTCCGCATATTATAATTGGAAAATAATAATGGTTCCGAAAAACAAATTAATATCCAGCGATCTGTGGCCGACTATAAAAATGGATCTTCGAATAACAAAACTAAACTTCCGACAAAATTACTAAATTACTGACAACAGGCATTTTAGGTTAGTATTATAGCAATAAACAGTTATGTTTATTTTTCGAAGATTTCAGTATCTCATACGGTCGTTTCGTCATTTTTATTCGGACAAAAGTAGTCGGAAAGTTACTATTTTAGGCAGTAGATTTAATCTTTTCAGAAAGGGCAATTCTTCTCTTTTTGTCGGAGCGTTTATAACTACCCATTGTTATTTAGCCACTTACAATCCAAATTATACAGAATTAACTTCTGCCAGCGTCACCAAGGTTCCTGTGGGATGAAAATAACCCATGTAATCTTCCAGACTATAACCTACCCTTGTTCCAAATTTCATCCCGATCCCTTCAGCTGTTTTGACGTAAAGGAGTAAAAAACAAACATACAAACTTTCATATCTATAATATAATTAGTAGGATAGCACAAAATATAATATTTTTGCGAGTGTATCTTTCAAACTGAATCAAACGGCTATTCAAACAGTTGGCTATAAATATCTATCATAGTTCCAATTGTAAAAAAGGCAAACAAGTGACCTGTTATTTGTCAATGAAAAGTAAGTGCCACTAAAACGGGCACTGTGTATAGGAGCCATTTTTAATAGCCTCGCGATGGACGACTCAAACTAAAACAGTCGGTATGAATCTCGCTGTACGGTGCAAAATATTTATAACAGTTTCAAAATTCATACGGATACGGTACTTACTTTTTAAATTGCTTTCAAAGTTATTGAAGTAGTCATCGGGACATTTTCTAGTGGTAAACATATTGGTTATAAGAAATAAAAAACATTTAGGCCGAAAATAAAATGACAATAATGCATTCATGTAAGCATTAGCAGTGTAAGAAGCCAACAAAGAAAGAAAAATATATCTGTCAGAATGTAACTACCGCTTTTACAAAAAATACCGTAAACCATACACTAATTAACTTTCGAAGGCTACAATTATTAAGTTTTCTACTACCCCTAATCAAAATGTTAGTAAAACAATAATGTTCGACTAAGCAATAAACCTTCATTTTACTAGACAGCTCTCTTCTTAGTCGATTCTCTCACTGCTGAGTTCGTGACTTCCTCTGATTTTGTTCACTCGATGTCGCCACTTTTCTCGTTCAGTTGCTAGGTGCATTGCAACATTCATGGGTATCTCCAGCTCCTTGGATATTTGGTCAGACCACCGTATGTCTATGTCTCTTTCCTTCTACTTTACCGGTCATTAAGAGGTGTTCCAAATTACTAGCATCTCTGCGAGCAATATAGCCAAAGTTTCACACGATCTTTTGCAAGCAGCGTGGACAAGCGCTGAGTTTTGTCGATTTTTAGCTCTTTCAGAATAGAAAGGTTTATGCAGTAAGCTGTCCACGGTATCCTCAACATCCTCCACTAGAACGCATGCTGCAATTTTTGCTACCACTCAATGTCCAGCAATAAGTGGAAAAGTGCTTCAATAGCTATTTCACTCATTTCATTTAAATGGTATGAAAATTATAATTTATATATACTTAATCTGGTAGTCATTGAGGTAGGCCTTGTTCAGTAGTAGACGTCTTTTGGCTGTTTTGACGGTGATAATGATGATGTACAGCGCATCCCATAGCATATCACTGAACTCGATCTTTTCTTCATATCTAACCATACCACAGAAGAATAAACGAAATAAAAGAGATCAAGTTATTTTAAGCCTCATTGCCACACTACACTATATCGGTAATTCGGTATGTTCTAAAACACATTGCTTGTTTATTAGTCATTTCTTGCAATAGTAATATTATGGATCTTATTAGTCACTCTGTCATAGCCAATAACAGACCATGCCCACATCTGGATGAAGTAAATGTTGTGAAAATATGGGCTGATAACTTGAGGCTGACTCCTAATGGCTAACCAATCGTTGACTAATAAAACAACACTACGAAGCATTATTGAATTATGTAGTTATAACTGGTTTTAACTAGAACAGTAAATACGTGGATAGAATGTATAATAGGCTGTTAACTGCATAAAATAGAAAACAATTTCTTTTTATATATATGATGGGTCACTGTCTTGACTGGTGATAAGCAATGATATGGCCTACAATGGAGTACGTCTGTCCATAAAGAAGCTTGATGCGAAGCGCTTCGTACTAGTTATCCATTTCTATAAAGTACAATAGCTTTTTTTATGGCTCGAAAGGGAAACATCAGGATTTAAGGAATGACTTTGGACAGTCTTCTCGTTATCCACTGTCATTGAGAATAATATGTTAAAATTTAAAATAAAGATGGATAATAAAACTGCCCGTAGAATAAACAAAAACACACAACAACCTATCAAAAAGCAGCTAAAAGATAAAATCCAACTCGACTGGTCACTACACAACGGCACACGACGCTAAAATGTTTCAACTACGTATCAAATATTTGTTCCAAATCTGTGTGTTTGTGCACGTGACTTGCTCCTTTAAGTGCATCCATACGGTGTTGCGGAACGTTTAGTGCAAGCTTAAGGTCTAGTCTAGATTTAGCAAAACGTTCTCGTCTAACACTAAAAGGAAATCTGAAAGTGCTAACAGTACAGTAATACGGGTCTTAAGATCTTCTACTAAGTATAAGTTTTACTTTTAACATTTAACTTTAAGCTTTAGATATTTGACATTATAAGGACGTTGCCTATTATTTTGACAACTATTTCATGAAATACTACACCGTGATATAACGAACAGTCACATAGTTACATGCAATCACCAAACTCAAAGTCTCTATACCCACATTTCGGCGATTGTGTAATTAATACCCTTGGAATAGGGAGCGAGCCTATTGCGAAACACAGCACATTCATGCCTGTTACAGAGAACATTGAAATCGTAAACCCCAAAAATACATTGTCGTGAACAAAGTTGGTAATACCTTATTTAACAAACGGGATACACATAGGATAACAATTTTTTGAAGAATAAGGAGTTTACTTGTTTGCAAGAATGGAATTCTCACTTGGAATTTCATCCTCAGTGCTTGCATACTCTTTATATAAGGAAGTCTTGCAAAAATTCATACTTGTAGCACCCATACAGAACGTTCATCAGAAATGCAAAAAGAATTTTATAAAAATTGTTGATAATAAATATTCGTACAATTTGAAGCATCTATGGTAACTTATTCAAAGTCAAAGTCAAAGCATTTATTTCAATTAAACCATAGTTTGGTACTTTTGAAACGTCAACAAATACAAAATAAATAATAGTCTGTCAGTCAGTCCGTCAGTGAAGCTAGGTGAAGCTAGGTGCTCATTCCAAAACGTAGATTCGAATGGAGAAGAACGAGCAAGAAACTCCATTCGTTACTCTTTTAAAAAAGTATGTCTTACTCGATATAAATATCTTGTATAATTATATACTAGCTGTTGCCCGCGACTTCGTTCGCCTTGGAATAGTGATTCACATCTCCTCCCCTGTAGATGATAGCGTGATAACATGTTGACCCGACTTGTTTGTAATATTCATGCAAAATTTGAAGTAAATCCATGCAGTACTTTAAGAGATCATCCCGGACATACTTATAGACAAACAGACAAATATTCTAAAAACCATATTTTTAGCTTCGGTATCGATTGATCGCCTCAAGTATTCTTTTTAAAAAGTATTCAATGTATAGTTTTGAGTTTTCTACAATTTTATTATATGTATAGAAGATATAGTGGTGGTGGAGTTGAAGTTCAACAGTACCTATATAAAACTAATCAAAACTTAAAAGCACCTTCGAGACAATTTCTGCATTCTACTTCTTGTGACTTTTTAATAGTTCCCTTTCTAGAGTTTTCGCCTTCCCAATCAATTCAATTTAATTAGTCAGTAGTAAATAATCATGGACATTTTGTTTCGTTAATATATATGATATTATAAGTGTGATTTCTTTGTCTTTATTTTTAGATGTTTGTCCCTCAATCGCGCTGAAACTACTGAACGGATTTTGATTAAATTTGGTATACAGGCCTGCTTTAGATGATAGGATACTTTTTACCCCGATTAAATGCTCCCATAGGATAAAATATATAATACAATGGGAATACGCGGGTAAAGCCACGGATAAAAGCTAGTATTTTATAAAAATGATTCATTTTAATTTCACAGCATCAGTTATTTTTAATTTCTTTTAAACTGCTTTATGTTTCGAGTTTAATTAATATTAATATCCAGTTAACGTTAAATATTAAACTCACTGCACTCGTGAATTTTAGATTCCTTTTTAAAATAGAAGGGTAATTACTTATGGAAAGGATTTTAAGTAGGTGCTTGGCAACGCAGTAAATTATACGATTCCATAAATCCGGATTTCTATATTGGTACCCTGTACGATGATATGATTTTCAGCGACATGATGGTGTTTGGTTGTTCAATTGATTCTTACTAAATATGTAGATACATCAGCCAACCAATGTTGATAACAATTCGGGTTGCAAACTACAAATTGTAATGTTATTAGCCTAAAAAATATTATTGATGAATTTGCATAGGTAAGTAATATTAATGTACATAATTTTAACAATAAATATTGTCAATATTATTTAAATTAAATATTGTAAATTAATCGAAACCTTTTTCTGGTCTACAATTCTAAAATATTTTTTAGTAATTTTAATTAACGGAGAAGCTGTTAAATCCATTTATTTTATCTTGAAGTACTTAAAACAGTATGTGAGTAATACTCGCATTATTTACTTTAAAAAAAAAATCCTTTCCATGAAATATTTTTGTAATATTCTTTTATTCTCAATTCGATAAACTTACCCATAAAATATTTAAATGTCATCCATCACTATACAAATAGTGTAATTATCCAAAGTTTACCGCAATAAACAGTTTCCTCCAAACTATGCGATATTCACAAAATTATTCTATGTCACAGCACACAATGAAATACATGAATTGCACAAATTACATCCAATTTTGTCCACTGCGCACTTTTACACAGTTCGCAAGTTCGGCAAAGTTTACGTGTTCGTCCGTAGCAGCGAGTGCGGAGCATGCGTTCGTGCAGGGCCGCCGACCGACAGCGCGCGAGTGAGCCACCACCGCTCCGCCAGCGCCGAGCGACAAAGCTCCTGCTTTAGCTATCACTCGGTCATCCGTTACCGCCCATACGCCTCAGTTCCACCCTCCTGTTGCCTCGACCAGCTTGTTCATATTTCACTCGCGTACCTACTAGTAAATTCAATGATCTGTTATTAAAAATGTGCTGCCAACGTTATGAGAATTTCAGTAATTAACAAATCCAGGCACAATTTTATATACCCGCAGCAAATAAGAGTGAAGCGGTCGCATATCTCCGACTCGCAGACAAGTTTATTATCATATTGTTGCACTCATATCATTTACATAATATCCAACTGAAAGTGAAGTTTTAACGAATTACTATTGTGTAGAAAATCAGATTTTATGCATGGCTATGCAGATGAGATCACATTTAGACACGAAACGTGCAGAGATTCTTGAATGCAAAGTACAAACGGATACTTTCAGTATTGCATTTTTGTTCTTAAAAAACGTAGATTATGTTTCGTGGAGTCTGAAATATTAGCCAGACATAATTGGCTTCGTGCCGAATCAACAGGGGCCAACTGTCGCGGGGTGTGCAAACGTATGGCGCCGCTCACAAAGCGAGCGCCGAGCACGCCACCCGTCACCGGCGGAACATTTCAAGCATTTTAATGCCATCAACCATCGATCAGACTCACTTACTTTTCTATTCCAAGTTTAATGGAGTTACGAAATCACATTTCTCGAATTCGATTACTGTATCAAAACCATGTTTTTTGTCTTTTTAACAGTTTATATCTACAAAACCAGTACTCATGTCACCGTCACCCACTAGATTATAAAACGACAATGAATCAATTGTTTTCCTATAAAACACTGCCTTGTACATACAGTCTAGTCGTATCGTGTTCTTGACTTCACCGTAGACACTAATTACCCTTCTCTAATTACTAATTACTCCTCCGAGCTATTTTACCGTTTGTGTAAAAGATAACTAACATGTTTAAGAAACGTATTTCTTGAAAGTAAAGCCCGACTTCTTGTAAATGTTACAAATAAAAATGGTAATGAAGCGGTGTTAGAAAAAAAAAGCAATTAATTTCAAATAGGTTTTTACCTTTCGAAGAATTAGAAAGTGGGAGTACACTACGCAGTGGTAGTACATAGACAGGGAGGTAGGTCCAGATACTTTTCATCACTTTAGTGTTAGTTATATATTATATGAATTGTTAATATTGTAGGGATTCCAGCATTCAAGATATAGCGTAGTCCTTTTAAAAAGCGTCTGCTCATTTGACCCCTTTTCATATAAAAAGATTATATCCAAATATTGTAAAATTTTTTTGGATCAAAATCCTCATCACCAACGATGATAGCGCTCAGGAGAACCTTTCAAATTAACACGACAGATGCTGCTAAAAATTTCTCTATTTAAGACTTCACAACTTTGACTTGCTACAATAATTACTGTGGACTAATAAATGACATAAAACTGTATTACTGATTCAACAGTTTTTATTGAACTGTGTCTATACGGTAGCTGCGCTGTATATTTCATCATACATAATTAAAATTTACAGTGATGGGGATTATCCGTTAGACGGCAAATTTGCATGACCGTGAGAGTGCCACGGGTTATGGGTATTGCATAAATTAAAATTTTCTATAATAAGGCATAGCAGTACGTATGTAAGTGTATGCACTGACTTTGAAAAAAAGCGGACGTAACGTCACATGGAAATCACGCGAGGGATGTCCTTCGAGTCAATGTGTGTGTATTCTGCGTATAAGTCTATAGTAGCCAGGTGCCACAGTCGTTGTTTCAAGAGACTATGTCCGCCTTTTTACAACGTCCTTGTGTGTTGGATGATACATTTTATTAAAATTAACTTTAATCAAATCCTGCATGTATGTACCTACTATACAGTTGCAAATCACAGCGTTTGTGAACTACAACTTCAAGTGGACTGCCGGCACACGTCAATATTTCAAGTCTACTGCCTCCACAAGAGTTAAAATCAGACGGATGTAAATGATATACATATATAAAAATGGAGTGTCTGTTTGTGATATTAAAATAACCGCTTTTTACTAGATGCATACTATATTCGATAAATGCGCTATCCGACACAAAAATAATTATTCAAATCAGACTTGTAGTTACGGAGATTAGCGCGTTCAAACAAACAAACAAACAAAAAACAAATGCATCCACTTTATATCATAGTATAAGATAACAATTTTTGTCTATCTGTCGGTCTATTTGTACTGGCTAGTCTCCGGATTGGCTGGACCGATTTTGCAAGACTTTTATTGATAGATAGCTGATATACTAAGAAGGAACATTGGCTACTTTTATTTCGTAAAATTAAAACAAAAAAAGATAGGTTCTAAAATTCATATTCTACGCAGACGATGACGCGGGCAACAGCTAGTTTCAACATAATATCGAATAGCTTCCGACAACTTGTTTACACGAACATGTTGAATTTTGATTAGATACATTGAAGATTGGGGCTGATTACAGTTATAATGAGCCGTCATGTAACTACTGTCTAATATTATTCGCGAATAAATTTCTTATGTTAGACTTCACACTGATAACTTCGTATAATCGAACATATTATTAAATACTTGTATACGTGTAGATACCATAACATAAAATAACACCACTTTTATTATCAGTACTTCATAGGTGTTTTTTTTTTAAGGGGGAAAATCATCGAATGACTTCTCCCACCCGGGTAGAGATGGGATTTTACCCGGAAAAAACCCGAATATGGGAAAAAACCCGGGGAAAATTCCCGAATGGGAAAATATTCGGGTTTTTTCATATTTAACACATGTAACAAATAAGTAATGTGTAGATTATGTACATATCATATAGTACGTACTATTTAAGAACTATTACTACAAGTTAGAGCTAATCTAACTTTGTTTATGTTCATATTGCAGTAATAACGTTCTTAATATCCTTAGGGACCTACTATCAAATGAAAGAAAATGAAATTAAACAAAAATCCTGTCTGT